GCTGTTGACAGGTACTAGTAGTCTAGAGATTGGGGTATATGCTCAGCTATCTGTATAATACAGATCTGTGTGTATAAAATATCCCGGGATAGTCAGTGCTTCCTGTATAGTGCTGCTCTCTGTTTTGGGATTATACAGAGAGCAGCACTATCCAGGGAGCACTGAGTGTCCCAATTTATTATACACACAACCCTGTATTATACAGAGAGCACTGACTGTCCAGGGATATTATACCCAGACAGTAATTGATAGCTGTGCTGCAAAATGTCCTTGGAAATTTTTTTTCAAATGTTGGCAACTATGGCACTGTATCAAGGATAATGTGTTTGTTTTTTTAATAATCTATGGTGGAAAATCATGATTCCTCCACCAGGTATTATTAAAAAAACAAAACACATTGTGTCGGGGGCGTGGCTTAACATGTGACAGGGGCGGGGTCAAACTGCGGCGAGGGCGGGGTTAAATGTGCCCCCCTACTTTTGTCACTGGCCCTCCATGTGCCCCCCCGAAAAATGAATCCTAGAGACGCCACTGGTTATAACATTAGCTGTCATTATTTCATGAGCTCATTAAGGGTTAACTAGGAAATAGGTATAGGTTATCATAATGCACCATGATATCTGAAGATTTACATGTGCAGTTATTACATTTTCTGTATTAAAATCTTGTAGGATATCACAACCTATTATTCTAGGTTGACCCCTGTAGGTAGAGGCACTGCGTCATACAGGCATACCTCCTGAGCCCGATTTCTGTTCCTTTACTCACACTCATCGGAGGCTTGGTCAGCTACACAGCATTCCATCACCTGTCTTAGGGATGGTCAGAAGAGGGTTTTAGGATAATAACATCTTGTGGACCAGTAGGCGGGAGCTTCTAGGGCACTATGTAAGTATTACTTCCTAACCTGCAGCTCATGGCCTGGAGAAAGCAGAGACTCTTATTATAATCCCCAAGGCTCTCTTATTACAGAATTTATGTTAATTTCACTTTCCGGGTCATAGGGGAGAACAGAGCATAATGTTATTTGGCACTAAAAGGATTAATTTCACTAGCGGCACTTGCCCAGTCAGACTTTATATCACTAGGTATTGTATTCATGCAATGAAAGGATTTTTTGAGTTTGTAAAACCACACCACTATTTATTGAATAACAAAAGGCATTGTGATTTGTGCGGTTTGCTCTGCTGACACGCTCTGCTGATGAATATACGGAACGAGTGTGTTTTTAACGTTGCTACGCATATTAATCATTATACAATATTGGTAATTTCTTCCAGAATCAACCCAACCAAAAACCCATGACTTACTTCAGTTCCGTGACCGTGACCCTTTCCACTGAGTACATTCTATTAAAGAAATCCTGGATCTGTGAAATTAGGTAAAAACACAAGTTCACGCAATGTCTTCGGTACATTCTATTAATGGTTTGAATATATTGTGAAGGGACAACGTAAGATAAAAGCATTTTTATTGTCCCTAAAATGATCTAATTGGCCTCCATTACCATGCTGCATTATTAGAGAAACCACAATCTCTTATCCAAAAATTATCGACCTGTTACTGGATGCTGAATCACGATACCACTGTTGGAGCATTTTTCACAGTATTTTTACCACTCAAAGATTGGTTAAAGAAGGTCCTCATGGACTCAAGGTCCCTCACAGTCCTGCAGCAGGTGGGTCTGTGACACGTAACTCGAACGATTAAAGAGAAGCGCTTGTGTCCAACATTGTCTATAAACATCTGCCACAAGCTGTTTTCATTGCCAATAGCTGGTAGATAATTAAGGTCACAATTGTTTTCCTTCACTGGGACCACGATTAGTGGTACTAACATCAATTTGGCCAGTTCCGGGGCTAGATTCCAGAAAGTTTATTCTTAGACTACAGGGTTTTCCAGGGTCTGTGTATGTGTGTGTGGAGGTTTAACTGGAAAGTAAAAATTACATGTATTTAAAAAACGTTGGAGCAACCCTTTAATGTGGTGGTATCCAAAACAGTCCTCAAGGCATGCCAACCAGTCCAGGGTTCAGGGATTACACAGTTCTGTCAAGGTAATTTTTATTTTCTAATAAAAACACCTTATAAACAACTGGGTAATCCCTAAATCCTGGATTAGTAGGCATGCCTTGAACCAATGCACCTGGATGTCTATAATGTGCGACATGTAATGGAATTCACATCTCTCATTTATTTATCTCATTACATTGTGGTCTTGGAGCGTGGCATTATAATATTAAAAGCTAAATAACGAGTCCGGCGCGGTTTTACGGACTTTGACAGTGCTACTACAGAGGTTTGTAAAATACAGATTGTGATCACTTTGATGACTGTTCCACAATACTGATTGAAAGTCAGACATTATCGATTGAAGGCATTTTGGATTATAATTTCGGCCCTGTATATCAAACTGAAATTTGAAACAACTGATACTGTATCCAAGTCTGTTACTCACCAGTGTTTCAATCCTAGATACCAGCACTCTGTATTCTACTGAAGAAGGATTTTGAAGGCCCTCTGTGTAATTTAAGTTCAGTATTTTCAGTTGTAAAGGGTGCGTTCTGGGGGAAGACGTGCTGGCTGATAAAGTAGAGGATAATGTTGTACTTATTTCAGGTGAAGATGTTGGTGATTGCTTAGGATGAGAAAATGGTGAAAAAGTAAGAGAAGAAATGATGGCTGAAAGCAAAAACAGAACCATATGTACTATTAATATCATACTCACAATTGGCATAGAGTTGGGTTCAGATAAAGAGCTGGTAGTTGGCACAGTGCTGGTTTCAGATAAGGAGCTGGTAGTTGGCACAGTGCTGGGTTCAGATAAGGAGCTGGTAGTTGGCACAGTGCTGGGTTCAGATAAGGAGCTGGTAGATGGCACAGTGCTGGTTTCAGATAAGGAGCTGGTAGTTGGCACAGTGCTGGTTTTAGATGAGGAGCTGGTAGTTGTCACAGTGCTGGCTTTAGATGAGGAGCTGGTAGTTGGCACAGTGCTGGTTTGGGACAGTGAGCTGGTATTCGGCACAGTGCTTGTTTCCGATAAGGAGCTGGTAGTTGGCCTAGTGCTGGTTTCAGATAAGGAGCTGGTAGTTGGCCTAGTGCTGGTTTCAGATAAGGAGCTGGTAGTTGGGACAGTGCTGGTTTCAGATAAGGAGCTGGTAGTTGGCCTTGTGCTGGTTTCAGATAAGGAGCTGGTAGTTGGGACAGTGCTGGTTTCAGATAAGGAGCTGGTAGTTGGCACAGTGCTGGTTTCAGATAAGGAGCTTGTAGTTGGCCTTGTGCTGGTTTCAGATAAGGAGCTAGTAGTTGGCACAGTGCTGGGTTTAGATGAGGAGCTGGAAGTTGGCACAGTGCTGGTTTCAGATAAGGAGCTGGTAGTTGGCACAGTGCTGGTTTTAGGTAGGGAGCTGATAGTTTGCATAGTGCTGGTTTCAGATAAGGTGCTGGTAGTTGGCACAGTGCTGGTTTCTGATACGGAGCTGGTAGTTGGCACAGTGCTGATTTTAGATAAGGAGCTGGTAGTTGGCACTGAACTGGTTTCAAATAAGGAGCTGGTAGTTGACATAGTGTTGGTTTCAGATGAGGAGCTCATAGATTGCACAGTGATGGTTTGTGATACGTTGCTGGTAGTTGGCACAGTGTTGGATTCAGACGGTGAGCTGGTAGTTGGCATAGTGTTGGTTCCAGATAAGGAGCTCGTAGATTGCACAGTGATGGTTTCTGATACGTTGCTGGTAGTTGACACAGTGTTGGATTCAGACGGTAAGCTGGTAGTTGGCACAGTGGTGGTTTCAGATGGAGTGTTGGTAGTTGGAACAGTGCGGGTTTCAGATATGGAGCTGGTAGTTGACACAGTGCTAGTTTCAGATAAGGAGCTGGTAGTTGGCACAATGCTGGTTTCAGATAAGGAGCTGGTAGCTTGCACAGTGCTGGTTTTAGATAAGGAGCTGGTAGTTGGCACAGTGCTGGTTTCAGACGGTGAGCTGGTAGTTGGCATAGTGTTGGTTCCAGATAAGGAGCTCGTAGATTGCACAGTGATGGTTTCTGATACGTTGCTGGTAGTTGACACAGTGTTGGATTCAGACGGTAAGCTGGTAGTTGGCACAGTGGTGGTTTCAGATGGAGTGTTGGTAGTTGGAACAGTGCGGGTTTCAGATATGGAGCTGGTAGTTGGCATAGTGCTGGTTTCAGATAAGGAGCTGGTAGTTGGCATAGTGCTGGTTTCAGATAAGGAGCTGGTAGTTGGCACAGTGCTGGTTTCAGATAAGGAGCTTGTAGTTGGCCTTGTGCTGGTTTCAGATAAGGAGCTGGTAGTTGGGACAGTGCTGGTTTCAGATAAGAAGCTGGTAGTTGGCACAGTGCTGGTTTGGGACAGTGAGCTGGTATTAGGCACAGTGCTTGTTTCAGATAAGTAGCTGGTAGTTGGCCTAGTGCTGGTTTCAGATAAGGAGCTGGTAGTTGGGACAGTGCTGGTTTCAGATAAGGAGCTGGTAGTTGGCACAGTGCCGGTTTCAGATAAGGAGCTTGTAGTTGGCCTTGTGCTGGTTTCAGATAAGGAGCTGGTAGTTGGCACAGTGCTGGTTTCAGATGAGAAGCTGGTAGTTGGCCTAGTGTTGGTTTCAGATGAGGAGATGGTAGATGGCACAGTGCTGGTTTCAGATGAGGAGATGGTAGATGGCCCAGTGCTGGTTTCAGATAAGGAGCTGGTCGTTGGCCTAGTGCTGGTTTCAGATAAGGAGCTGGTAGATGGCACAGTGCTGGTTTCAGATAAGGAGCTGGTCGTTGGCCTAGTGCTGGTTTCAGATAAGGAGCTGGTCGTTGGCCTAGTGCTGGTTTCAGATAAGGAGCTGGTAGTTGGCCTAGTGCTGGTTTCAGATAAGGAGCTGGTAGTTGGCACAGTGCTGCCTTTAGATGAGAAGCTGGTAGTTGGCACAGTGCTGGTTTGTGACAGTGAGCTTGTATTAGGCACAGTGCTGGTTTCTGACAGTGAGCTGGTAGTTGGCATGTTGCTGGTTTCAGATAAGGAGCTGGTAGATGGCACAGTGCTGGTTTCAGATAAGGAGCTGATGGTTAGCACAGTGCTGGTTTCTGATACGGAGCTGGTAGTTGGCACGTTGCTGGTTTCAGATAAGAAGCTGGTAGTTGGCACAGTGCTGGTTTCAGATAAGGAGCTGGTAGTTGGCACAGTGCTGGTTTCAGATAAGGAGCTTGTAGTTGACCTTGTGCTGGTTTCAGATAAGGAGCTAGTAGTTGGCACAGTGCTGGGTTTCGATGAGGAGCTGGACATTGGCACAGTGCTGGTTTCAGATAAGGAGCTGGTAGTTGGCACAGTGCTGGCTTTAGAAGGGGAGTTGGTAGTTGGCACAGTGCTGGCTTTAGATGAGGATCTGGTATTAGGCACAGTGCTTGTTTCAGATAAGTAGCTGGTAGTTGGCCTAGTGCTGGTTTCAGATAAGGAGCTGGTAGTTGGCACAGTGCTGGTTTCAGATAAGGAGCTGGTAGTTGGGACAGTGCTGGTTTCAGATAAGGAGCTGGTAGTTGGCACAGTGCCGGTTTCAGATAAGGAGCTTGTAGTTTGCCTTGTGCTGGTTTCAGATAAGGAGCTGGTAGTTGGGACAGTGCTGGTTTCAGATAAGAAGCTGGTAGTTGGCCTAGTGCTGGTTTCAGATGAGGAGATGGTAGATGGCACAGTGCTGGTTTCAGATAAGGAGCTGGTAGTTGGCCTAGTGCTGGTTTCAGATAAGGAGCTGGTAGTTGGCACAGTGCTGGTTTTAGATGAGGAGCTGGTAGTTGGCACAGTGCTGCCTTGAGATGAGAAGCTGGTAGTTGGCACAGTGCTGGTTTCAGATAAGGAGCTGGTAGTTAGAACTTTGCTTGTTTCAGATAAGGAGCTGGTAGATGGCACAGTGCTGGTTTCAGATAAGGAGCTGGTAGTTGGCATAGTGCTGGTTTCAGATAAGGAGATGGTAGTTGGGACAGTGCTGGTTTCAGATAAGAAGCTGGTTCTTGGCACAGTGCTGGTTTCAGATAAGGAGCTGGTAGTTGGCCTAGTGCTGGTTTCAGATGAGGAGATGGTAGTTGGCACAGTGCCGGTTTCAGATAAGGAGCTTGTAGTTGACCTTGTGCTGGTTTCAGATAAGGAGCTAGTAGTTGGCACAGTGCTGGGTTTCGATGAGGAGCTGGACGTTGGCACAGTGCTGGTTTCAGATAAGGAGCTGGTAGTTGGCACAGTGCTGGTTTTAGAAGGGGAGTTGGTAGTTGGCACAGTGCTGGCTTTAGATGAGGATCTGGTATTAGGCACAGTGCTTGTTTCAGATAAGTAGCTGGTAGCTGGCCTAGTGCTGGTTTCAGATAAGGAGCTGGTAGTTGGCATAGTGCTGGTTTCAGATAAGGAGCTGGTAGTTGGGACAGTGCTGGTTTCAGATAAGGAACTGGTATGGTACAGTGCGGTTCAGATAAGGAGCTTGTAGTTTGCCTTTGTGCTGGTTTCAGATAAGGATCTGGTAGTTGGGACAGTGCTGGTTTCAGATGAAGCTGGTAGTTGGCCTGAGTGCTGGTTCAGATGAGGAGATGGTAGATGGCACAGTGCTGGTTTCGGATAAGGCTGATGGATTGCTTCCAGTGCTGGGTTTTTTTTTGCACCACCAATCTGAGCTGTTGAGATTCCAGAAAGCACGCGTTGCTGTAGTTTTCAGATAAAGAAGCTGAAGTAGTTGGCACAGTGCTGGCTTTAGATGAGGATCTGGTATTAGGCACAGTGCTTGTTTCAGATAAGTAGCTGGTAGTTGGCCTAGTGCTGGTTTCAGATAAGGAGCTGGTAGTTGGCATAGTGCTGGTTTCAGATAAGGAGCTGGTAGTTGGGACAGTGCTGGTTTCAGATAAGGAGCTGGTAGTTGGCACAGTGCCGGTTTCAGATAAGGAGCTTGTAGTTTGCCTTGTGCTGGTTTCAGATAAGGAGCTGGTAGTTGGGACAGTGCTGGTTTCAGATAAGAAGCTGGTAGTTGGCCTAGTGCTGGTTTCAGATGAGGAGATGGTAGATGGCACAGTGCTGGTTTCAGATAAGGAGCTGGTAGTTGGCCTAGTGCTGGTTTCAGATAAGGAGCTGGTAGTTGGCACAGTGCTGGTTTCAGATAAGGAGCTTGTAGTTTGCCTTGTGCTGGTTTCAGATAAGGAGCTGGTAGTTGGGACAGTGCTGGTTTCAGATATTAAGAAGCTGGTAGTAGTTGGCCTAGTGCTGGTTTCAGATAAGGAGCTGGTAGTTGGCACAGTGCTGGTTTCAGATAAGGAGCTGGTAGTTGGCCTAGTGCTGGTTTCAGATAAGGAGCTGGTAGTTGGCACAGTGCTGGTTTTAGATGAGGAGATGGTAGTTGGCACAGTGCTGCCTTGAGATGAGAAGCTGGTAGTTGGCACAGTGCTGGTTTCAGATAAGGAGCTGGTAGTTAGAACTTTGCTTGTTTCAGATAAGGAGCTGGTAGATGGCACAGTGCTGGTTTCAGATAAGGAGCTGGTAGTTGGCATAGTGCTGGTTTCAGATAAGGAGATGGTAGTTGGGACAGTGCTGGTTTCAGATAAGAAGCTGGTTCTTGGCACAGTGCTGGTTTCAGATAAGGAGCTGGTAGTTGGCCTAGTGCTGGTTTCAGATGAGGAGATGGTAGTTGGCACAGTGCCGGTTTCAGATAAGGAGCTTGTAGTTGACCTTGTGCTGGTTTCAGATAAGGAGCTAGTAGTTGGCACAGTGCTGGGTTTCGATGAGGAGCTGGACGTTGGCACAGTGCTGGTTTCAGATAAGGAGCTGGTAGTTGGCACAGTGCTGGTTTTAGAAGGGGAGTTGGTAGTTGGCACAGTGCTGGCTTTAGATGAGGATCTGGTATTAGGCACAGTGCTTGTTTCAGATAAGTAGCTGGTAGCTGGCCTAGTGCTGGTTTCAGATAAGGAGCTGGTAGTTGGCATAGTGCTGGTTTCAGATAAGGAGCTGGTAGTTGGGACAGTGCTGGTTTCAGATAAGGAGCTGGTAGTTGGTACAGTGCCGGTTTCAGATAAGGAGCTTGTAGTTTGCCTTGTGCTGGTTTCAGATAAGGATCTGGTAGTTGGGACAGTGCTGGTTTCAGATAAGAAGCTGGTAGTTGGCCTAGTGCTGGTTTCAGATGAGGAGATGGTAGATGGCACAGTGCTGGTTTCAGATAAGGAGCTGGTCATTGGCCTAGTGCTGGTTTCAGATAAGGAGCTGGTAGTTGGCCTAGTGCTGGTTTCAGATAAGGAGCTGGTAGTTGGCACAGTGCTGGTTTTAGACGAGGAGCTGGTAGATGGCACAGTGCTGGTTTTAGACGAGGAACTGGTAGATGGCACAGTGCTGCTTTCAGATAAGGAGCTGGTAGTTGGCACTGTGCTGGTTTCAGATAAGGAGCTGGTAGTTGGCACAGTGCTGGTTTTATATGAGGAGCTGGTAGTTGGCACAATGCTGCCTTTAGATGAGAAGCTGGTAGTTGGCACAGTGCTGGTTTCAGATAAGGAGCTGGTAGTTAGAACTTTGCTTGTTTCAGATAAGGAGCTGGTAGGTGGCACAGTGCTGGTTTCAGATAAGGAGCGGGTAGTTGGCATAGTGATGGCTTCTGATATGGAGCTAGTAGTTGGCATAGGGCTGGTTTCAGATAAGGAGCTGATAGTTGGCACAATAATGGTTTCTGACAGTGAGCTGGTAATTGGCACAGTGTTGGTTTCTGACAGAGAGCTGCTAGTTGGCATAGTGCTGGTTTCTGACAGTGAGCTGGTAGTTGGCACAGTGCTGGTTTCTGACAGTGAGCTGGTAGTTGGCATAGTGCTGGTTTCAGATAAGGAGCTGGTAGTTGGCCTAGTGCTGGTTTCAGATAACGAGCTGTTAGATGGCACAGTGCTGGTTTGTGACAGTGAGCTGGTATTAGGCACAGTGCTGGTTTCAGATAAGGATCTGGCAGTTGGCACAATTATGGTTTCTGACAGTAAGCTGGTAGTTGGCATAGTGCTGGTTTCTGACAGTGAGCTGGTAATTGGCACAGTGTTGGTTTCTGACAGTGAGCTGGTAGTTGGCATAGTGCTGGTTTCTGACAGTGAGCTGGTAGTTGACACAGTGCTGGTTTCTGACAGTGAGCTGGTAGTTGGCCTAGTGCTGGTTTCAGATAAGGAGCTGTTAGTTGGCACAGTGCTGGTTTGTGACAGTGAGCTCGTATTAGGCACAGTGCTTGTTTCAGATAAGTAGCTGGTAGTTGACACAGTGCTGGTATTATTTATTGAGGCAGAAGCTGCCATAGTAGAGATGATAGTTGGCACAGTGCTTGTGGCAGATGAGGAGTTAGTAATTGGCTTAGTGGTGGTTTCAGACGGGGAGCTGGTAGTTGGAATAATATCGGATTTAGATGGTGAGGTGGTTGCTGGTTTGGATGTAGTTTGGTATATTCTAAACCCTATGAGATTAGAATAGAGATTACTAACGCTGGACCGGATATAATATATTGCAATGATCAGTAATATATTTCAGCTAAAGGTTTGTAACTTATTTCATATGTGTTATATGTTTGCAAAAATGTACCATTCAGTCATAATCACTGAAAACCACGTCACAGACCAAACTTCCTTTCATACATTATAAAGAACTAAATAAACATGTAACAAATCCAGCCTGTGCAAAGTATCTGTTTTCCAGCTATGTTTTCTAAGGGAATTTGTTTACTTACCATTAGATTCAATGCTAGATATATCAAACAGAAACTGTGCTAGCATAGAGCTATTACTCTTTAAAGCCTCAACAAGTGCCGTGACCAGCTCTTCGGACGTAGGGACTTGTGTGCCATTGGCAAAGTCAATTAACAAGGTGACTATCACAGAGCCGTTCCTGGGAGGTAAACAAAACATGAATACAATGTGTATTATATTAAAACAATGAGTTTTATATTAATACAATGCGTTTTATATTATTACAATGTGTATTATATTAATACAATGTGTTTTATATTAATACAATATGTATTATATTAATACAATGC